AAAACTGTTGCACGGGGATTCACAAAGGCAACAACTAAGAAGTACCAAAACAAGAAAAAGGCAAGAAATGAAGAAGTGAAAGGCCATTCATCGATGAAAAAGCGGGCCATGCCATATTTTATGCAACAGTCAGCGACAGTCCCAGCCGTCCACCACCGCCCACTTGCCGGCACATCCTGCAGCGTGACCCGAATGGAGCATACTACTATACTCCCTTACCGACTCCTTGGGACACAAGCGCTCGCTCGCTCGCTTTCTGTCGCTGCACTGGTTGGTGCTTTGCTTGAAGGCAACTTTGTTGATTTATATTTTTGCAGCTGCTCATGAAATTTGCAATTGCGAAACGGGGCGCGGCGTTTGGTGGGCACGGTGTTTGGGGCTGCGGCAGGACACGATGGCGACAACGGCGACGACGATGGGGCATTAAAATTGCATGCGCATTAAAGTATGCAACGGGCGACAGGCAATGGGCAAATAGCAGCGCTTGGCATGTCAGCAATTAGAAATGGAAAGAGCTGGCCAAAAAAGGCGAAGAGGCCAAAGGAAGCGTGCAGCGACGCGAATAGGAGGGAGAGTGCGCTTCCTTTCGAACGAACACGTTACACGTAACGGCCAATTGCAGTGTGTGCGCGTGTGCGAGTGCACCATAAATCATGACAAGCACAGACGCACACCCACACACACACACACACACACACACACAGACACACGCACACGCGCGCACACTTCAGCTTGGTCCGTGACGTCAAAGGCACAAAGGCGTTAAGAGCGTTGGTTTTGGCGTTGGCGTTCCCAGCCCTTGTTATACCCTAATTCAAATGATAGCTTGAGTTGATGATGAAGGATGTAAAGTAGACACGGCTACGGATTATTCCAAGCAGTGCATAGCTCATAGAAGTAAAATTAAAAACCCACTAGAGATATATCCCTGCGCTTTGGTACATACACAACTTTACCTGCATGGAATGAGGCTTGCCTGAGTGTGTGTGTGTGTGTTTAAGTTTAAGTTTACAACCTTCAGGGTATCTGCTAGTCGAAAGCACTTTTGACTATAGTTATTGCTCTTGCCGTCGTCGCTGGCAGCTGTGAAATACATTTTTTTTTTTTTTGGCCACAACATCTTCTCGTATTTTACCTGACCCCCGGGCTCAACAGAGGGCGCCACATCGCTCATCAATTTTCGACCGTCAAAGAGACCAAGTAATATAATATAAAGAAAATGTTAGAACATTGCAATCGGGTGCTACTGACTGCTCGATACACTTTCCTGGTCCAATAGCAACTCGGCATCATATAAGAAAATTGTGTTATTCACTTTTCGATCGTTCTTTAGTCATAGAATCTTAACATTTTTACTGACACTCATATTCGACACTCACATTCTATATTCACATACCAAAATATTCTTTTAAAACTTTGTTAAACAGTATGAAAAGGGAAAAGTCAAGATTGGTTTATTATTGTCCAGTGAAAGTGTAAATTGTGCCACAATCTCTGATCAACAATTGGTGAGATTTTCAGATTAGTTTTAATCTAGCTTTACTCGATTCTATTCGATACGAAAATTCTGTTGCTAACAATTATTTATACAAATATTGTTTAATATTATAATATATATAAATAATAATAAATCTTGAGTTGTGGATCAAATTCACATTCTTATTAAGCGCTAATTTGTTATCATATGTTATTTAAGACAATTCAATAAGAATTCTAATAAATATTGAATCGAGAATTGAAGCTGAAAATTGTTTAAAGCAACTTTCAATAACCATACAGCTACAGCTGCAAGCACTTTCTTCGATCAACTTTATCAGCAACTTTAAAAGTTATTAACTTATAATCATAGAATCAAACAATATTGAAGAATAGTATGCAACATATTCTACAGGCCTTGCACAGCCTGTACTTAAGATCCGAAAGGAAATAATCTAATCTTTTAAAGGTGTTCGAGGAACCTTTTAAACGTAGTTTTTCTTGCTTATCCGAATCCAAACTGTGTAGTAGGTTATGTTTGCCCTGCGACAAACTGAAATACCCTGTAACTGCATAATATATATCTGCAGCATGGCCAAAGTATCGCTTGAAGCCGCCTTTAAGCGCCTTAAGCCATGCAGCCGCCCATCCGATTAAGGCTTAATAACAGCCATTGGGAATAGCCCTAAAATTAGCTTTACCAACTGACCCACGGCAACGACAGACGCTGCGAAAAAGCAAACTACTTGCTAAGTAATACGAAACGAGAAAAAATGGCAGCGAAAAAAGTAAGAAAATTGCACAAATAAAGTAAGAAAAACTAAGTCAAAAGGTCAAACGTGGTATTAAGCTGTATGTGTGTGCGAGTTGGGTGTGTTGCTCAAAGAATTACATATTTGGGGTCAAATGGTCAGGCGGTCGGTGGGTCGACATTGGCTGTCGTTTGTCGTTTGTCGCTTGGCCTCGTCAGAGTTGCGACCTTCAAAATTGGCCGACAGTGGCGCTAAGCGCTCAAGTATCCTTTTGGCAACACCCGCACACTCTCACACACACACTCACACACACACTTGTCATTAGCCACAACATTTTGCTCCGCTGGCAATTCTCATTTTTTTTTTTCGTACATCTCACTCACTTTTATTTGCCAAGTGCACGCAATGTGACAAAGTACAAAAGCAAAGCCAACTAAAAGATGTGTGTTAAAAAAAAAAAAAACAAAGCAAAACAAAACTAAATACATTGGGGAAGAGGTAAAATGCTCCAGGCTGTAGGCGTTAGGCGGTGGGCGTGGCACTTGGCTTGTCCGCTGGTGTAAATTATAGTGTCATATCGTGTAACATCGCATATAAATGAGGCAGCGATACACGCCCACCCCCCCCCCCACCGCCACTCCATCAGCCCCTTAGCAGCACGCCCGCAAAATCCACTTGAATTTTGTTGGCGAAATGATAATTAAGCAAGTGAGTTGCCAGGCAGTCGAGCGTATGCGACACAAAACATACCCTCTCTCGGGCGGACAGCAACGGGTAGTCAGATACTCCGAATATACATTTTTACCTTTGCTAGTTCTACGAACTTGATATAGATCGTTGTTTATTAAATAACCAATAACTCTGTAATCTATATCATCGATAAAAGGCAGTTATTTCAACGAATATATATATAATATTTGTAGTATAAATTTGTTCAAAAAAATGTCGTCCATTATATCGACAAATTTGTGTTCGGAACATTTAAAAGCCTACGATTGTTTTATGAAAAAGAAGTAAGCAATAATCAGACATCGATAAATCTGATATTGACTAATATATGGGCAATAAGTATTTCATCGATAATGCCACAGTAAAATATGTTAACATATATCGTATAATCGATAAATTTGCTATCGATACGCATATAAGCAATTAGCAGTTAATCGATCATATCATTAATTATGTTACAGAGTGAAGAAGAAGAAGTGTAACACAGAAATCAGGAATCGATCATGAATCTGTTATCGATACATATTGTCAGCAATAAGTATTTAATCGATTATATCCCTTAATCGATAATATTTAGCAATTTGCCTTTACGTTTACGTCGGGTCTACCGATCCGATTGTAAACCAACTTTGTACAGGGTATTGGGCACTTGCAGTTGTTTATTAGCAACGGGCAGTAGCTGTTACTTACTGTAACTGTGGGTTTGGATTTGGGTTTGGGTTTAGGCTTGGGCTTGGGGTTCGGGTTCAGTTCTCTCCGGGGGTTTTATGTACATTTTTCTTGTATTGTTGTGTTTTTCGTTATATTTTTGTATTTTTTCAGTTTCTTCTTTTCATTTTTTTTGGTTTTTTTTTATTTTGTTTTTTTGGTTTGCTTGTTTGCGGGCTGCTTAAGCATGCATGAAGCGTGCTCTTATTTAATGAACAAACTTTGCGGCTGTGTTGGCTTTTCGTTAGCCACTTGTCATAATATGATTGCAGTTTTCTATCTTTTAGTTGTTGTTGTTGATGTCTCTGTTGATGGCAGGCAAACTTGACAAATGCTTTAATTGACTCGAAAGAGTCAGCCATTTCAATTCAAGCAACATTAAGCTAAGATAATAAAGAGAAAGAGGAGATGACATACAGACCGCAAGAGCACAAGAGCTTTTCAGATTGGCCAAGGAATTCCAGGAATGCAATATTAAAACTAAAGGTCAACAAGCAACAGCAATCAAAAGCTGTTTTCTCGGAAAGCAATTTCGCTAGAAGCCGACGCACTCTAGTTATTGATGCCAGGCACTTTTAATTGCGGCCCAACATCCAGCCTGCCTGGAGGCCACAATCTAGAAAGGCTCTTCAAGTTGAGTATGCAGACAAAAGCTTCCAAATATTCTACAATGTGTAAATATGCCAGCATGCTATATTGTTATAATTAACTTCTAAACATGGGAGACATGTCAAGGGACATATGCTGTGTTTCCATTAAATATGTATTAAAAGGACAAGAATGAACTGGAATATGACCAAGCCCTCTCGACGGGACTGCTCTTATTTATTATTCTCTTTAGTTTTGCTTTTTTTAGACACTTACAGTATCAAACAATCTCTTGTGCTATTCAGTAATTTATTCCTGCCTAAATTACATCGAGGACTTTCCATTTTAAAGGCAATAAGTAATTTCTTCAAGCCCCTGGATCCATTCACAATTAGGCAAAAAACCATCAACAATTTTGTTAGCACTCACGCCATGATAAAGTCAATGGCAAAAAGCTAATCAAAAAATACTTAAACGAAATGGCAAGGCATTAGCGGAAAATGCTAGGAAATGGGAGGGGGGCCACCCACATAATAAAACGAAACGAACAATTTTGGATTTCCACTTCCCGTTGGCGGTTGCAAATATCGCACGCAATGAGTCGAGCCGCTGGCAATTTGAAGCATCTAATGATATTCCTTTTATTATTATTATTACATGCTATTATTAATATATTTGTTTTGAGTCTAATAGATGGGACTCAAGTGAAGGTTATGACATTCAAATTCAAATTCTATTTTCAATCAGCGCGAACAGACTTGAAAGATGCCCCCGACAAAAGCGACGACAACAACAACTATAACATATGGCATGGGTCTCTGGCGACATCGTCGATGACAACGGCGACAACAAAAACAACAACAACAACGAGAGCAAAAACAATAACAGAAAGTCAACCAACTCAATTATACAAATATTATACAAACATTAGAAATGCATCAAAGAATAACGAAGGATATTTGAGCACGAAACGAAATCAAACGATTGTAGAAATGGGCGTGGAGATGGACATGGAAACATGTAACTGGAACTAAGTCCTTCAAAGCAGACACTATGATTACTTTGCATAGAGTCGAACAAATCGATAACACTGCGCAATCAACATTGCAAATAAATTTGCACATCTGAACAAACTAAAATAGTTACAGGTGTTTCCATTGTTACTTCGGTTTTTATCAATATTTACGATGTGTATCTTATCAGCATGGGTAGAGCCAACTTGTCGGACATGTTGAAGAGCTTCTTAGATAACTTTGGACAATGATGGAACGTTCTGCTTGTTTACCGATGATTGACTATGGAATACAGTTGTTAGAAGGCCTGTTTAAAAGGTTTCAAACTAATCAATATCTTAGTTGACCAAACGAAAAGTAAGCAAACACATTCGCTTGAAATAAGATGACATATATCGATAATTATTTATAATTGTTGTTGCAATGTATGTTTCGATAACTATGCGTACGTCAATGATATCGATATTTCCCTCGATTACATTCGTTTGGATCAAGGTGGAATGCATCGATAATTTATCGTTACAGTATATATGTTCTCGATTTGAATAGATTACATTCAAAAGTAATTGCAGATACACTGATATCGATATCGACCAAACCGATATATATCTTTTTTTCGATAACTCATATTAACACTTGCAGCTGGTATAAGAATCCTTGTCACATTTGAGTACTTTAGAAAACCTATATTCAAAATACTTTGTTTAATTTTGTTAAGATTAATTATATCCAGATATTTTAATATATGTTAAGATGTTATCGATACTTTTAAATATTTTAAAATGATCACGTCAATCAAAAGTTCATATGTCTCCGATGCTTGCTTAAATATAAGCTTGTATTTAAATCTTTGACAACAAATCGGCAACTCAAGAGAAGTCAATAGCTTTCAAACTATTTTCCAGATGATTTATTTAATATAGCTAAACAACCAGGAACCGGAAAATGTTTACAAAATTGTGTTTGATGGTGTAAAAGTCATTTAAAGTGATAACTTTGGCACGAAAATTATGTGAATGTGGGTTGCTGGGGCGCTACGTAACCTTCATTGAGTTCTGTGCTCTGTGCGACTGATTAGCTAAATGGTTTTTGCTTTGTTTCTGTTTTTATTATTATTATTTTGCAAGTGGGTGAAGCGGATCTGAGCTGACTGGAGGGTGGAGAGTGCCATCAAATCACGTGAATGAACCTGTTTGCACACGACAAGAGAAGCGAATACTATAAAAATGAAAATAAAATAATAATATAAACAATAGCAAACAGCGAGCAGCGATTACCGAATGCCAAATTTCATTCGGTGACTGTTTCCGTTTTCATGTCTATGGTAAATTTTTGCACACTCAACGCCAATCAATTTCGAGATAGTTTACGATTATTGTTTTTTGGCCGTTAAGCAGAAGACTAGCGGGAATGGGGGGAGTAGCTGGGTATAAGTCGCGTGTCACAATCAACTACAACACAGAGAGAGAAATCATCCATGTACATGTTATATATTAGCATTGCTACCCCTCAGTCCAGAGTGCATAATATGCCAGAATTTATTTGACATTTGCAAATCTGGCGTGTGAAAACAATTACAATCATATATTTTTTATATTTTTCTTGGTGAGCGAGGGTTGATTTTTTGTGGGTTTTTGGGGGCCGTAACATCGCTTCGGGAAGCTAACCACAAATGACAGAAAGCAGACACACCATAAACATGGGTAATGGGCCTGGCAATGACAATGCACTCGGCTGCATAAATTGTGCAAAGAGTGCGACAGATAAGTGCAACAATACACTAGAAAATAAAGTGAGCTACAAAACAAAATGTTCCTGATTTTTCTGTACGGATGTTAAGTCGAGTTATGTTAACGTTGCCAAGCCAGAAAGTTAACAGAAGTTAGCTATGCATTTAACAGCTATGTAAATGTTATGTTTTGTTTAACATTTGATCATAGATACAACTTTCAGATCGCAAGCTGTATTCAAGTAGATTCCTATTTATTAGATAGTTACTAAAACTAACTAAGATATGTATGCTATATTTAAACTAAGCCAGACTTAGCTGCTAATCATGCTTTTCTTAACAGTTCTGTAAAAAAACAGATGGCGTTGAGCAGAACACTGTTAAATATTTAAATCATGTTATTGCTCGAAACTAAGCATTTGCATGAATAGGAATTCAAATTCAAATTGAATTTAACATTATTAATTGTCTATTTCTATTTTAGCATATTTTTATGAAAAACAAGTGCATATTCCAGCAAAATACTTGCAAAATTTTAAATGAGTTTTAACATTATTGAAACTTTTGTAAAATGCATTTATGGCTCTTTAGCTATTTTTAGTCACAATGTTTACGAATACAGAATTGGCAGAATACAGAAACGCCAGAAATAATTTCCATCATATGCGTATGTGAGTTATGTTCAAGTGGAATGCATTGGAATTGAATCAAGCTACATATTTCATTTTGTGCCAACGGGCTCAACTATGTATTTTGTTTCGATTCCCTTGTGTAAACGGAGAAGTTTGGGTACAAAAACTATTTTGCATACTTTTGTTTCTGTTGCTGTTGTTGTTGTTTTGTGCCCAAGAACGTGATGAAAGGATTAGCCACAAAGCAATGCAATGCCAACTGTGTGAAAACAGCAAATGTCAATTGTTAGCTGACTTTTTGGAGCAAAGGCAAAGGATGAGGATTGTGGGCACAAAAGACGGGCAATATACAGTGAAAGCTCGCCGGAGCGAACGCAAACGGTTCCGGTTTCCTGGTTCTCACAAGGCGAGATACGCTTTCAATTTTCCAGTTTTCATTTAAGTCCAGTTTGGGATAGTTTTTTGTACAGTTTCAAGTGGAAAAAGAATAAAATGTAGCGTACGTTCGTAGAGCTTTCACTGTACTTGCACACACACACACGTTGATCGAGACAGCGAGACAGAGCGAGAGCGAAAGCGAAAGGGACAGACAGAGCGAGAGAAAGGAGCGAGCGAGCGCTACTTGTGTGAGAGATAGAGAGAGAGAGGGAGAGAAAGAGCGAGCTGATGATTGTGAATTTAGCTTGCTGAGAGAAACGATATGAAATATCATCAACATAATATAATACCAAATTCGGCAACGAAGAAATCGCGCAATTTCAATCTGGATTTCTTGGGCTCCTCGCGCGGATGATGCACCGTTATTTGGTCCCCATCAGCCGATATCATTGTCTCGCTGGGCGGCGATATCGAGTACTGTTGCAGCATGCGGCGCTGCTGTTCGGTGAGCTCGTCCAGCTGATCGCTTGCCGTTGCCCCGCTGCAGGCACTGTTGGGCGTGCCGCCGCCCACTAAACAGGCAGCTGAGCTCGAGGCAGAGACGCCGCCGTCGCTGCCGCTGCCGCCAGAAGCGGCCAATTGTTGAGCAATGATCAGCTTCTGTGCATGCTCCTCGGCCTCTTTTTGTTTTTTGAAATCTTTCATGGCACACACATACATATATATTTACATTTGTAGACATAGATCATACATGTATGTATGCATGTATGTTTATATATATATATATATAGAGTTATAGATTAAGTACAGCAATATTAACTTGGGGAAAAACTTAAAACGGGGCATTAGAGGATGGGCGTGTGTTGGGAGCAGGGTTTCGGGAACGGCTGGACTACAGGCGAGCTGCAGAGGAGAAGAGCGGCCTGTCTACCTTTCACTGTTATCGTTGGTTATCTTGTGTTTACGTTTTCTCTGCATTTACCATTCATTTTCATATTTATGAATAAATATTGATTTTTTTCCATATCAGTATCCATTTTCCGAGCCGCACAGCTGCATGCGATCGTCAATTAGTTGAAGGGGGTTACAGAAATTGACTCCTCAATTAAATTATTATCATTTTTTTTTTTTTGTTACAAAATTAATAATCTAGGCCACAATCTTCAAGAACATAAGGCTTATTTATTGAAAAAAAGAGTTTTTTTTGAAAACCAAATTGGTTTACAGAGACGTTGACCTTAAACATTAACATTTTTGCGCACTTAACATGATCAAGCTGCCTAACAGACCTGTTAGTACAGGAAATGTTAAATCTCTGTTATTGCAGCCAAGTTCTCAATATTATCCTAATTTCTATTAGTTTAACTGCAATTTCCAAGCAAATTGTCAATGGCAAATGCATATGTACTTTATGTATATGTACTTTTCGATATTGATATGTGAGATTGATGGATTTTTGTGAAAATCTCGACAGCACTCGCAATCTGGCGCTCTTATCGAACGGAAGCACACATTCGAGAGCGTATAAAACGATTGCCCGGCGAGGCGAGAGAAATCAAATAAAAAATTACAAAATAATAATCAAATGGGGGGGTGGGGGTGGCTATCATGACGATGGGGTAAGTAACATAGTTGACGGGCGTTGGGGGGTGTCAGAGGAAACGGTAACAGCTGCTGATGAGAGTGCTTGAAAATGTAATTTCAATTTGCAATTTGAAAAATGAAATTTCGGCACCACCAAGTGTGAGGATTAAAATTAATGACAATATTTTTTCATTACTATTTTTTTTCTCTTTTTTTTTTCTTTTGCCGTTGCCTGCGACATGCTCGCCGAGTGCATGACCTAGCCCATGGAGCTGACCTTGGCATAGGGCGTGTCCGCCCACGCACAAACATCAGTCATGAAAAATGTTCTTTTTTTTTTTATTGTTGCCGTCGTTTATGTTTTATTTCTAGTTTTTGTCGGGGTCATCATTAGCTAAAGGTGGCCGCGTCAGAGCCAAAGTGCGGAAATGTACGCGTTACGAAATAAGACAACAACTAAAACGACAGCAAATGCTTAAAAGTGTGGCCAAATGCAATTTTGCAGCCAAGTCAAAGTCGTCAATAAACCGATCCATTGGTGAAGCGCCACCTAGCGGACAAGGCGTACATACGCTAATCGGCTTAAGCTGAAGGCTGCAAATACCACCCACCCACCCCCCTTCTACACTCCCTGCAAATAACTAAACTATTTAGCGCTTACGAATGTGTCGCACTGCTAAATGTTAATAACAAATGCAGCGGAGCGAACATGTAAACGCAATTAACAGTGCAAATGACGACTCTGTTATTAGTGCAACAGAGGGACGGAGGAAGCGCGAAATGAGCGCGCACGTGATTGAAATGTTTTGCGCTTCCGCCTATTTTAACATATTTGTTTATTTTTTATAATTTTTGCTTTAACCTGATTCATGATCGTGTTATCAGCAAACAGTCAACTGTGTCGCTGCCTGGTGACGTCATGCGGCGGCAGCAATTTTGCCATGGCCCAAATGGGCATTATATAAAAGCATGCAAGAAATAACGGCACACTTAACAGCAGCGAATTGACATGTACGATCATGTTATTAGCAGGCCGCTGTTATGCAAACAAAAAGCAGCGCTGTTAATTGTTAATGAGCCATGTTAAGCATGTTGACAACAAAAAAAAAATTACAACAAAATTTTGAAAACAAAAAACCCGCTAAACAATGACAATAACAACAAAAACAAGAACAAGGTTCGCTGCTTGCATTTGAGAAGCAATGAAAATCAATTAAAATTAATTGATACAAAAGTCAAATTAAAGGGGGGAGGCCGCTTATGGTGCGGCTTGTGCTTCTTCTTGTTTTTTTTTTTTTTTTTTATTGTTGTTGTAATTGGCCGCTTGTGCGTCATTTGCTGTTGTTGTTGCAGTTGTTGTTGCAAACTAAACGAACAATGTGCAATAATTAGAAAATGCAATCGTTTTGAGGCGCTCTCCTCACCCTCTCTCGCTCGCTCGCTCGCTCGCACAGACACAATCAGCCAGCCAGAATTAGGTTATAAATTAAAAGTTGAGAAGAATACGAGAAGGAATTGTTGGAAAGAGAATGGGAGATAATAAACAGAGCATAATAGGTCTAGAGGTATTTATCTTTACTTACTTTCCAGCAGCCGCTGTATTAGACTGTCCACATTTAAATCAAAATCGCCCATTTTTTTGTTTTTGTTTTTGTTTTGTATGTTTGTTGTTGTTGCTGTTGTTGTCGGCCTTCAATAGATGCAGGCAGCAGTGGATTCCAATTGGAATTGTTCGCTGCTCAACTACAGCCGCTCTCAAAAATCAACGCACACGCACAAAATGTTATTTGTTTTATGCTGCTGTTGCTGTTGCTGTTGCCGCTGCTGTTGCCGTGTACTTAATTTTGTGTGCCGCAAAAGGCAATTTCACTTTGTGTAACACTTTTCAGCGCTTTTTGCTCTGTTGCGTTGCGGCTTTTTACAGTTAAGTGTTGTTGTTGTCGTTGGTATTGGTGCCGCGGCTGCCGCTACTGTTGTTGTTGTTGTTTTGTTGTCGAATTTTTAGGCTATTTTTGTGCAAATGGAACGATTATATTGTTGTTGAAATTTTCTCACTGGATGCAGTTGCACTGGCAAAAAAAATGTATTCTACGACAATAGAGTGCGGACGCGATCCTTGTTTTCTATTAATTCAAACAAAATTCCACGACACATCTAACTTGGAGCGTTTTACTTTATCTGGTGTTAGTCCGCTTTAAAAACAAATAAAATAACCAAACATGGCGACAGACTCGCGTGAACTACAAGGTAAGTGTGGCCGCGAAGAATATGCGCGAAAATACTCTGCGCTTCGTATTAAAAAAAATACCCAAAAGTTCGATAACGATAACGATTTAAATACCACATTTGAAAAACATTTCTTAAATTGATTTTCAATCATACAACCGTCAAGTCATAGTAAAACCTTCTATTGAACTATTTTGTATGCTGTTGAGCCTTAAAATATGGGTTAATAGATATTTTTCAAAAACTACGCCATATTTAGCTAACGATAGTGCGCACTGGAGCGCCGATACTAGAACGCGCACTTTTTAAAACAAGATTCACCCACAAATGAAATAAATATTGATAGCCTACATACAAATATAACTGAAAATGAATTTGAATTTTATTAACAAATGACTATACAATCGAGCAAATAACGTAAAGCATATAGCATTAGAAATGAAACGATACCCAACCTATCGTATTCCCGATTTTCGATTCGATAATTTATTTGCGCTCGCAGCCAACTTTAACGTGCTCAAAATTGCGCTCTGTTCACACAACTCCATTTGGCGCCAAAAAAAAACAGCTGTTTTTTTTTTATATGTCAGCAATGAATTACTTTCCCAACTATTATTCAATTGAAGACATATTTGTCACCCAGGAGAAGGTCGAGTGCAAAGTTAACACACGCCTACAGCGTATGGGTACGAAACGAGCTGGGCATTTCGTGTTGGAACCGGCTTTATGCACATTGTTTTTACCGCAGGCTTTCTGGATGCCGGCGCTGAGACGGACGACTTGGAACCGGGACGAACCATTAATCTGCCATTGTGGTACATCAAGGAACTGAAAGTGAACAATGCGTATTTCACAGTGGCCGTGCCAGATATCTACAAGAATGTTCATAAGGCCGTCTGCGAGGCGGAGACCACGCACATCGAACTGGGTCGACTGCATCCATATTTCTATGAGTTCGGACGCTATTTGACGCCCTACGATCGCAACCATGTCATAGGTCGCATCATATTCGAGACACTGCGCCAACGTGTCCGCCATCTGCTCGACATATCCAAGAACGACACGGACAGCAAGCCCGATCATCGGCTCGACAACATTGAGTCCAAGCTGCACGATGCGGGCGTGCGCACCAATACCCTGGTAAGGGGCGACTCCCAATTAGCTAAACCCATCCCGGCACACATGCTAATCCATTGTTATTCCTAGTACATCAATTGGCTGCAAATGAGCGGCAATCATTTGCGCATCTCCGAGCTGGTCGAGGAGCATCAAAAGAAACGCAAACGTGCCGAACGCAGCGACGACGAGGGCGCCGGCGACCCTGACACGCCCAGCAGCAAAAAGCGTAGCACTATGTAAAGAAAGTCCATTGGATGCAGACATCAAAAAAGGAAAAACAACTTTATTTTATGTTCACATTAAGCGTATTTTGTTAAATAATTGTTATAAAACAGTTTAAGCAAATCGTCGACAAATTGTTACCACATATATTCGGCGTGCCGAAGATCGCATAATTTGACAGACTTGCCGCATAAGATATATAACATATATATAAAGGATTATTATTATAGCTTAACATCTGATTATGTTCACATATCATTTCTATCAAATTAATTTACATAAAATCTTTACAATTTGTCGCACGAAAATAAACTGTTTTTGGCTTTTAATATAATTTGAAAACAGCTTTTATCATGGAGAAGCATACGTTTCATTAACACAATCATATTTTATGGCTAAACTCGAGTATACACACCTACACACACACACACACACACACACGCACACACACATACTATATAATGTATATATCTATAATTAAATGAATATGGTCTGTTTTTGATTCCTTGCAACATCCACAATCTCTCATAGATTCACAGTTACAGTTTGCGGAATTCTAGGTACCCCATGTCCAGAGCGGGAATACAAACAACAACCATCTTAAGATCCAAGTATTTTATGTCGTTTTACATACACAAATTGTTGGCTTTTTTACTTGATGCTTTGTTTTGTTCATTCTGTAAATATGACGAGGGCTTGTGCCCGAAAAAAAAAAATACATACAATTCAGTATGGTTTATATATAGATATATATAGTCTGGTATACAGTTTATAGATTAGGATATAATAATAAATAGATATACATATTTATATATTGTATAAACGATTACATCCTCTCTCTCTCCCTCTCTCTTTTTTTCTCTCTCTGTCTGTGTTTGTTGCAGCAACATGTGGAACAATAAGCGCACCTATCAAGGCAACAGTTTTTGAAGCATTTGTTTTTGTTTTTTTGTTTTTAAACATATTTGTTTTCGCGTCATAGAATTTTCACACACACACATACATATATCTATATATATTTATATATTGTTGCATATGATTATATAGTTAACTCTTTTGTGCTCATTTCAATTATCGCTTGGATTTTGTGGGCTCAGCTGGAGTTGTATCAGAATATAATAAGTATATAGAAATCAACATAACATATTTGTGCTCTGGAAATGCCGAAATGCCCTTCAGTACGGCTTGATAGGCTACATCAATACAATTGCGACAGATGGAAAACAATTTTTGGAAAAGTTCTTGCACATGCATCGTACGTAGACACACACACACACATACATACATATATTGTTTGAATGTATCTTTTGATTTTATTTTCTGTTCACTATTTTGGATTTTATCTTATCACATTTACTCTATATATTTATGCTCAATTTAGTCAAGAGTTCAAATCGTCGAGCGATTGCTTACAATGTCGAGCAGCTATATTTTCGAAATAGTTTTCATGAAACGTGTTTGCAAATTCAGTTTTACATTTAAATTCCCGGATTTACAGCATATAAGCTCTATAGTACATAGTATACAGATACATACATATATATATATAGATATTACTTAGCTCTCAGTTGAATCAATCCGCATAGGTACATAAACCTCGGCCAGCCGAGTTCAATATAGATTCTTTGATTTCGTTAGCAACACTTAAGTGCGCTCTCTTAAGTACCTGTTAAAGTTAGCAGCCGGCTTAACATGCTGTCAAATTCGCTGACATTTTCCGAAAGACGTGAAAGTTAACATGACGTTTAAACTACATTGCAAACTACATTGTAAAAGCAGGCGGTCAAATGACATAGATGAATTTTTATAAATTATCTGCTGCTGGACTCAGGTAGCAGGTATTGTCTGTTTAAACCGTTGGCGTTGCCATATTTGCACACAAATTGAATATTTCATTGCCAGCCACTAACATGAACTTTAACAGGCGCCTGAAAGAGCGAACCTTAAACATAGTACGCACACACACACATATACATATATATATATATATAAAGCATGCTGATCGATAGATTGGCATTACAAGTTTATCGATTACATAGCAATAGTTTCTTCTGTAATAGAATGCAACATTTACAGTTTTTTTTTTTTTTTATTATATATTTTTTTTTTCACTTTTTCTTGTGTGTTCTCTTTTGCTTTAAAAGTAAGCAACATATATATTTTTATTTGGTTTTGTTTGTCGTGTTCCATTTTTTCAATTTTTAGTTGTTTTCATTTTTCATTTTTGTTTTTTGTTTTCTGTTTTCGGTTTTAGTAATGTCTTTAAAAGTAAGCAATTAAATAACTAAAAAATAAATGTCTGGCCGGGCTGACTGCATGTTGGTTTATGTTTAAATTGTTAGGAGCCCGTGAAAGTGCAAACATTGTTGGATTGTTCAGCTGCCCAGCTAGCTCGAAGCGGGCTAACAGTGTTAAATTAGTTGGTTGTTTTGGGTTGTTAAAAATGTATAAACAATAAGCAAGACTTGCGCTGGGCATGCAACAAAAATAAAGAAAAAAAAAAAATTAACAGATAGATATATATATATATATATGGAAAGATATATATATATAAGCTTTAACAAATTTGCACTAATTTTTGCCGTTTATTGTGGCGATGGGCGTGGCGGTTAGGGGCACGTTCGCTTGCAACTGATTGCCAAGGGCGGCAGCTGGCAGCTTCCGTCGTTTGGGCAGAAACACCTGCAAAACGCAAACACATGAAAATAAGTGAAACAGAGCTCACATCTCTATCTCCCTCTAAAGAGAGAGAAAGAGAGAGAGGGAGCGAGAGGGAGAGGTATTACCTTGAGCGCACCCATGACCATCAAATAGAACCAGTAGAGCTGCGGCAAGAACAATATGGCAATGCTGACAAGGCAGCCACGCGGCAATCCGGACATGGCCGCCCACATGGAGGCGGCATCAATGGCCAGGCTATAGCGCCACATTACATAGGGCCACATGCAGACGCGGCAGACAAAGAATGTGGCCAACATGAGCAGCCCATTGACAATATAGACACGAGAATCCTTTAGGCCCATGGTGCTCAGTATGCTGCGCAGCGAGACAAACGGCGTAGAGAACTCCATCATGAACATATAGCTATAGATGCAATGGCCACCGCCGCGTATATACTGCAAGAGAAATGACCAATTAGATGGGGAATTTAAGTTTGTTTAACACTTACCGTCACCACGAGCAGTCCGAAGGTGCCAATGAATACGTGATGTATCATCATAACCGGATGTGTTAGCACATACTTTAGGAAATCCCAGCGTCCGTCTTTGGGTATCTGGACACAGGCGCCATCATAGTCGCATATCTCATGGGGTGTGCCCGGCGTGCTGCCATTGTTGTTACCAATTGATCTGTCGCCGCCGGCCGCCTTGTCGTAATAGCTTCTGGCATGTCCATTGGTAAACGGCTGAGAATTGGATAGACGCAGCAAGTGCAGCTTGTCGGCAATCTTCTGGGTGTGCACCTTGTACATGGACCAAATGTCATACATAAAGTAGGCGGTGCCAAACCAACCGTATGCCTCCATTAGAAAGTGCGAGGCATACACAAACGACTTGCTGCACGTCGACTTGCAGACGATCAGGCCCACCAGGAAGGAGAACGAGGCCTGTATGGCCGAGACGATTCTGTAAAGGGAGAAACAAAGACAAATTTGAGATCAGTTTGGTGTGTGTTAACAGGTGTAAAGAACAGGTGAGTGGGCTCGGCCAGTAGACACCCTAATCATAATATTTTCAGCACATTAACAGAGCACTGTTAACATATTCTAGTGGAACGTCTACTGTACACTTAACAGAGCAATGTAAGCAATCGGTTAGCTCTGCCGGAAAGAGAACATAGAATGGGGATATTTTAGGGAAATTTAGGGAAATTGTCTGAAGCACATTTCCTAAGCCGAAGCAATTGTTATTTGGTAGTTTCTTCAATCTCGAAAAATAAACATATTCTTCTGGCATATAAGACGCATGAGTATATACATTTATTAATAATCTTTGGGCATAATTTTGAGATACGGCTAAGAAGAATTTATATTTTTGTTTACCTCAATTTGACGCCTCACTAGGATTGATTTTTATTTAGACCACACGAAAGTGTTATAAGGCGAGGACAACAAACAACAAAGACGCAATTTTTCATGTGCATTTTTCCACGCTTTTGGGGCAAGTTTAAGAGCTATTCAAGGCCCACAAATTTCCCACAAATAAACAAAAATCAAACCAAAAGTTAAAAACTAGAATTAGACACACATCAAGCATTGCGTTCAGTTTTAGTAGATAGCACAGTTGGTCCTAAGACATAATATGATCTAACTGTGTGAGATTTGGTTCCGATATATTCCAATCGAGTCATGATCAGCACTTGCGGCCGTAGAAGAGTACGGGTAGACAGTTCTGGCGCAGCTGTTGCTCTCGCAGGCCCGTATGGGTAGGTGCAATAACCACCGGCTCCTCGGGCAGGCGTCGCAAATAGCAGCTGCGTCTCGGATGATAATTATCCTCCATTGGAACAATGTTGCCAAGCCTCACATCCTGATTGCAAGGGTATCGCATGCGGCCGCATGGCAGGCAATCCTTTATGGTTGCTCGGCACGTCATCCGGCTGGTCGGGTAGCTGTTCGAGGCGCATCTGTTTGCGGCACGCCTCTTATGCAATTGATCGAGGACAGTGGCCAGCATTAAAGGCACATCGGTGGTGGTGCTGCCGCCCCTCTCTCGTGTCTCATTCGACTCGATGTTGCGTGTGGGCGTTAAGTGCGTTTTGAATTCCAAGTCGGAAACAATCGACACTCCCGGCGGCATAATGCGATCATTGATGCGCCTGGTTGTGTTTGGAAAATCGCTGCGCTTTGATAACAGCTGCGAGTTCATGGGCAAACGACTCTCCGCCAATTCCTGTTCGGCCGCTGTCGTCGCATGCACCGTCAGTCGATCATGATTTGACCTACTCTTGTGCGTATATCTGGTCAGATTCGGGCCGAATTCGTTGAGGGTCGCTGTGGTGGGAATCGCAAAGATTGACGGCAGGTTCCCCTTGTCGGATCGTGTTGCCATTTTTGTTATATTTGGCAGCTGCTGTTGGCAAAAGTTGAATCTATGCGGCTGTCCGCGATCCAAACCGCATGTGTTCACCTTGTGGCCAGGGGCAATCATGGGCCGTCTGCTGCCGGAGCGCACACTGTACGGGGCAGGCGGCGGCGGCGGCGGCGGCTCCTTGGACAGGTAAACAGTATCGGGTTTCGTATTCTGTTTGGCAGCCGTCGTATCCATGGATGAGTCTGAGAGCCGTTGTGCCACAAAGTTGACACGCCGGCCTTCGGTCGCCTGCTTGAGTGCCTTGCTCAATGGCTTTGTCGAGGATTTCAGTATGGAATTCGGTTTTGTGATCTGCTTGTAGTTGGCTCTCTTAATTGTGGTAATCGGCGGCGCGATGGCGTAGCTAATAAGCGAATTCCGTGAACGGAATCTGTTCGCAGCCGGATAACCAAAGGATTCGCTAAGTGCCGCCAAACGTGCACTCGTTCCATAACTGTTGCGCTCGTTTGTCATCGGAGGCAATTGCTGCGTTTTGTAGGAGCTCTCGTAAATGCTGTCCTTAGAGGCCGGCCTGGCGGTTCTAGCTCTGCCATATTCCTGTTTAATAGTTGTTTTGCCGCCTCTATAGTCGGAGGATTCACTGTTTGTGACTGTTGTCTGCCGCACGATCTGCGCGCGCCTTTGATAGCGCTCCACTGGCCGGAGTTCACGTTTCTCTCTCAACCTTGACACATTTGCCGTTTGCTGTTGCCTTGGCTCCACATCGCTGGAGGTCTCCGGTTCGGATTTCTGCCAGCTCAAATCTGTTTCCGTTTCCGAACGCTGCGATTGCGAGCCAGACTCACCGCTCAGGCAGCACGATGAGCTGCAGGGCGTCGTATATACCTTAAAGTTCCTCTTTCGCCCAGATGTGTGTATATAAGTGCGTACGCTTGGAAGCACCGCACTGCGGCCAATGAACTTGCTAGTGGTGGGATTTGTTGGGCTAACCGTCGGCGGCATTTGCTTTGATGTGCTTGGAACTTTCTGGCAATTCCTATCGTCCGGGAACTGGACATCGCAACCGGAACGCGAACGGCAGCTGGTGACGTTTCGACCATGCTGCGATGTCTGTGCATCCATATCCGTATTATCGTCATCGTTGTCGCTGTCGGTGCCCAGATTGCTGTCGTCCATTGGGAGCTCCGGTGGATGCAGCAGCTGTGACGAGCCGTCGTAGCTGGATATTGGCCGGTTCGGCTGATAGAACGTGGACACCATATTGGCCATCTTTGGATCGTTGTTCATCATCTTGTTAATTCGTTCCCATTGCTGGCCATCCGCGAACTGCACCTGATCCAGACGCATCAGACGTGTTGCCGGACGCGGCGGCGGTCGACGTGTGCGCAGCGAACACTGCGCCTTCGAATGCGGCGTTTTGATCTTGAGCTTTGGCAATTTGATCGCTGCATCGCGTAGCTTCAATAGCTTCTCATTGATGGGCGGTTTGCTCGAAAATAACAGATTCAGACCGGGCTTCTCCGGTTTTGGTCGCTGCGACAAAATGCTCGATTCATTTGGCATGATGGTCGACATTTGGTTTGTGTAGCGGGTAACATTGGCCACACGCTCCTCGTTGCGCTCTACCGTATCCAGGGAGGTATCCGGATCCAAGGTCGCCACGGTGCGTTCTCTGCTAACGATGCTGTCCACACTTTGTCGCCTTGACACGGCCGGCACCTCGCGTTTTCTCTCAGGCTCAGCCGTGTGATAGCCACGTCCCATTTTTGGGCCGTGATCATTCCCATCCGCATCAGCATCAGCATCCGCATCCGCATCCGCATCCGCATCTATATGCTGTTCTGCTCTATTGCCGAAACGAGTCAACTGCACCCCAATGCCGTGCGCTGTCCTCGCATTGTACTGCCCGACCAGGTGACCAGCCCGGTGTGGATTCGGTCGGTTGCATCTGTTGTCTTCAGTGCGCCGCCTGCTCTGGATCGTTGACGAGCTGGTTGGGGTGCTGCTGTTGCTGCTAGATGGTGCACTTACGTATGGTTCATTATGGTTTGTTGTATGCCTTGCGTCGTTGTTAGTATTGTCGCTTGTCGAATTGACCGGACCTTTCCATGTCTGGGGCGCATTATGGGGGGCGGCAGTGACAGGAGGATTGTGTGACTGCAGACTTTGATCCGAGGAATATTCAGAATTCTGTGCCATATCCCGATCCTCCCAAGTGGATTGTTTGCTCTCGCACGAGTTAAAGTAGTCCGCACCGTCAAAGACCGTGGTGTTTCGACTGAAATCAGAAGCGCTTTCATCCGAATAACGCGAGAGCCAATCCGATTTCTGTGCAGGCAATTCGACATCATAGTTGGACGTTGGCACCATCCTTTGGTTTGATCTATTGCTGTTACTGTAGGTTGCGCGCGGATAAGCCCTGCCGGTGAGCCCGGTGTTGGTCCCTTGGACCGGTAGGATCTTGCTGTTGATCGTGCGCCTATTTCTAGGGCCAGGGCTCGGACTACGATTTCTAGTGCCAACTAATTGCTGCGATTTGCAGCGAGTACGCTGACTTTGCATCAGATTCGGACACTGCCTGACATTGGTTCGATTTCTATCCGCAAAGGTAACCGTGCAGCGTTTATGCTGTCGCGGCTTGATTCTCTTGCGTGCCACCAAACGCATTAGCTGCGTATAATCCGACACTTGCGTATAGCTGCGCGATGCTGCATTGCTCGTCGTGGGCTTGATATCCGCCTTGGCCTCTGGACATATTGTGCCCACGGACTCCAAATTGGTAACCGTCTCCCGGCTCTCAGTTGGTTCTGTCAGCGATGTTAGCCGCGTGTCTGGTATGCTGCATATCGAACTGATCTGTTGGCTAGATATGGACTCGCCTTTCAATGCCTTCAGATTGCTACAGTTTGCAGCGCTGGCATTTATTGTCTGTGCCGTCACTTGGCTGTCCGTCGACGACGTCTCGAAGGGCAGCTGTAACACGGGATTTGGCGGAGCTGCTGCAACTCCGGTTATCATAAGCTGATGTATCTGTGGTAATTGTGCCATTGCACCACTGACAACTTGCAGCTTGCCGGCAGTGGCTGGCTTTGGTTTAATGCCTATAAGACCGACTTGTCCTTTGGCCGGTTTCCTTTTCAGGTAGAAGCACTTTTTCTGCACAACCGATAAGCTGTTTGTGGTCTGTGATGCGTTGCATTGGCTACTGCTCGAAGCATTTGTCTCCTGGCGCTGTTGCCAGTTGCCATGTTTCGGCTGGCGCGAGAAAAACGATGACCCCCTCAGGCTTCTGGATTTTTTCTTATTTAACGAACCGCTGCCGTACGATGGCGGCTGGCGACTGATCGTGCTCAGGCTGTAAAGCAGATAACGTCCTGGCTGAATTGCACGCTTGCATAGGCCCGCCACGCTGCCCAATACGCCCTTTCGCTTGTTCTTTCGCTCAGCCTCGCCCTCTTGACTGCTCGTCGAAGGAAACTCCATGTTCGCTGAGCTGGTCAAAAAGAACCAGCCTTTGCGTTTGCGTGCTCGTTGCTTTGGCAGCGAGCTGGCAACACTCGACGGCCTCGACTCAACCAGCGAGCTAAGATCATTCATGCTCAAGGGCTTGGACTTGGCCATGCCTACTGAGTTCGAGACAGACTTTGCCAGTGGATTGGACTCAGCCATGTTCACGGAGTTGGAGTCGAATGTGCTCATCGATTTGGATTTAGTCATGCCCACTGTGTTGACGCGCTCCCTGCCCAGAGAGTTGGACTTAACGAGGCCCGGAGACTTGGACTCTATAAGGTTTACCAGTTTGCTCTCCACCAAGGTCATGGGATCAGCTACAGTACGCTGTTCATTATCGAGCTTGTAGCTGACCCTGGGCTGATTTGGATTTGGTGCGCTTAACTCCGTTTCGGATGACTGCGCCATGCCTACAAATGGACGTCGTCGCTTGCATGTTCCTTTTCTGCATGGAATTGTTTCTGTCGCCTCTTCTGGCTCAATTGTTTCATTGTTGTCTTCTTCGTTGGGTGGTTCCTGTTGCTGTTGCTGATCGACAGGCTCAATCGGGATGCAGGTCTTTGGACATTCGTATTTAATGCACATTTCGCGGGTGCAGACGTCTGTGGCACATGGTTCATGGCAGTCGTTCCGCTCGCATTCGCCTGTGTTCGCACAGCAAGCATTGCATTCTTCTATCGCCAACACCGACGATTCACACTCAATTTCATCCTCTATAGATTCATCCTTTGGCTTTTTGGGCGGCCTCTCCGGCACTTCTATGGCCAGCGACTGATCGCCCAGGCACGGTTCACATGCACATTCCGGTAGCTGCTCGCAGGGGCAAGTCGGCGCCGCTTTGCTCCAATAGCGCAAGGGCAAACCGTATAACGGATAACGTTCGGTCATCCCATCCTCGTAGCTCTTGAGCAGGCTATAAAACTCTGGCGAGATGCGGCGAAAGCATGCCGGATCGAGTCGCCGCTGCGGCGCCTCGCGCAAATCATACTTTTTGCGCAGACGCAGCGGCGGCGACTCGCTCCGGCGCATCGCCGCCACACATTCCTCGGCCATGGGCTGGCCATCCGCCTGGAAGATGCAGGCGCACGAGTTACGGCGTCGCGGACGCAAACAGTTGCACGTGCGCTCTTGATACATTTGACTAACGCTTGTCTTTGGCTTTTTGCTGGTCGAGCCGGCCGAAAAGCGATTCCTTTCCGTCACTGCATCCGGCTGGCAGCCGGCCAAATGCGGATTGCAGACCGTAATATTATTGGTTGGCTGCTTTTTTGGCTCCGGCAGCAGTTCCTGTTCGGACGGCTGCTTCTTGGCCTTTTCGGTCGTCTCAGTGTCCGTAGCCTTCTTCTTCACACACTGCTTTTCCTTCCAGATGCGGGGCTTTGTTATGAGCAGCGCCTTTGGCGGCCATTTGGACGGTTCCGCACACTTGCATATCGCTTCACCCTGGCGCTGCTGGTGTCGCTGCCGCTGGATTAACAAACGACGCCTGCGCCGCTCCTGACAATAATCCAAATATTGAACGCTGTGCTGCAACGGCTGCGGCTCATGGCAGGCGCATCTCTTGCAGTCGCACGTTAACGATATTGAGCTGGGCTCGTTCAGTTGCATCTGATACCGCAACTCCCGGCGCTCATTGAGCGTGACCGTGTCGAGAAAGACCTTCTGCTTGCGAAACCATTCTGTGGCCAAATCCGGCACAACAAGTCTCTCCTGTTTTCGTTCATGGGCCAACAGCTGATCGACCACCTTTTGACCGCGCGCCCGACGTCGTCGTTGGGGCGACAACGATCTGGCAGGACATTTGCGGCACATGCAAACCGACGATTTGTGCCTCTCGATGCCACCGGGATTGCGCGGCGGAAAATGTTGCATCTCATTGACCACATAACGTTCCTGGCAATCGAGCTTGTTCTCTTCATTCTCCTGCTCCCAGCACACAATGTTGTCCTTTAGGGACAATGTCATATCCATGTTGTTGCTGTTGTGATTGCTGTTGTTGTTGCTGTTGCTGTTGCTGGCCGGGCTCGTTGCAATCACCAGCTGGCTATCGCATAGTAGGGAACCCTCAACGCTGAGGGCACTCGAGTCTGGGATAGCACTCACTGCTAATTTGGAAATGCCGAAAGTATTTAAATAATTCGAATTTTGAAGTTAGAAATCCTTTAAAAATTGTCACTTGTTAAACATGCTCTTTTTTTGTTATACAATTAATGAATGAGAGAGAGAGAGATAGAGAGAGAGAGAGAGCTAGACAGGCACAGTGCGAGAAAAAGACCCTTCTCTCATCTGCTGCTCCTCTCTTTTTGGCAAGTCTCTCTCGAGAATTGCCTTGGGTCTAACTTGTCATTCATTGGAAGTCGAAGATATGTCATTTGTTCTATTCACGGGTTTTTTTCTAAAACTTTCATTTGATTAACTTGTTATTTCTCTGAGCTTGAACAAGTGCTTGCCCGAAACAATGAACCTAATGAATTAGGGTTTGTTTTCATTTTTATTTTCTGTAAGATTCTCTCACCCTCTCTATTCTCTTCTTTCTCTCTTTCTCCCTGCTGTCTAGGTGACTCTGTCATGCGGGCAAGAAAGATCCGGATTCGAATACCCGGCGAGTTTATGGACATATTGCGTTCTCTTGGCTAGAGCTATAAAAAAAAAAATGTTCTTTGCTTGTTTATAGCTATTAATAATGATAATATTTTGTTTATCTAGCGCATAAATCTCTGCCGTACTCTCCAATTTGTTAATGTACCCCGTATTGTAAACAAATTTGACGTAGAATAATTTTCATCTTCCCCCTCTTCTTCAACAGAAACTGAATCGCCTTCAGGCGGATTGTACAAAGAGCAGTCGAAACGTAAGCCACAAAATGGTTTGATCTAAGGCACAAGAAACTAGTTTGGAATTGTTGAAATTGGGGTTTACTTTGATTCAAACAGAAACAGATGCCGGGGGCGTTGTACGTGTGCGTAATCATGTGGCCTTTTCATTGGAATATATTCATCGGAAATAAAATTCGAGCTCAAAACCAGCAACAGCAAAATTATTGAAAATGTGCGCATCGTGCCGCGGTGGCTGCGGTCGCTGCGTTGGACGCTGCAGATGCACCGGCTGCTGTGGCCCCATGCCAGATGCCAGTTGTCGGCCATATCTGGAGAAGCTGCAGCCCGTATCGAAATATCGCTGGTTTCGTCATTGTACCACAGACGGTTGTCAAAAATGTCAAAGGGATGACGATGATGATGATGATGGCGATGATGATAATGGTCTCGATTGCGATTGCATTTGCCGCCGGAATCGTCACATTATCGAGGCGCTCAGCTGCCTATTCTCGTGCTCAATCCAATATATGGTATCGATATTATTCAAATTGGCCTATCTGCAACAGCAGCCGCTCAAGCGATTTCCACGCGATCGTGTCTGGGATGTAATGGAGAACGTTAAGGCGCCATACACAGAGCTAAACGATCTGGACATATATGACAGCATGTACGATCGGTGTGGACTGCCCATTGATCCGCTCGACACTGACAATATGCTAAAGATTGTACGGCTCATGTTCCTAACATCGGTGCTGACAATTGATCAGGAAAACTATTTGCTGAACATGTTGCAGCGCCTGAATGCCAAGGCCAATTGTCCGGTTCATCTTGATCTGTTGCTACAGACGCTCGAGGGCGTCGATCTGAAGAAGCTGGTGTGCAGCATGCGCGACCAGGAGGCGCTCACACGCGGCTTGTACACATCCCGCCTGTGCAATAGCATTTGTAAGCTGTACCGCAAAGTGGCCACAGTTGATAAGCATTTGGTTCGCCGCAATAGGAACAGGCGCCGCAATAATTATAATAACAAGCCAGCCGCCAGCAGCGAGCATACCGAGGAGGTGCCACCAACACGTCAATCTGTATTGAATCGCCAGTTTTGCGATCGGAAGCCCCCAGCCCAAAATGAGGCGAACACCTCACCCAAGAACTCCACCAATAAAACGTTGTCCAATCGTTTTAGTAATCCAGCCACAAGGGGCATGCGCTATTCTGGTACCACCAACAGCAGGCGTTACTACAGTAGCAGCATGACCAAATAGGGCCAAGAAGCCAACATTTCTGGCACAGATCGGTAACATTACGGATACGACGTGACTGGGCCGAATGGTGGTCGGGACCTTGTAAGGGTGAGGGTCGCATTGAAGGCAGCCAACAATGCACTTTTCTAATTTTGTTGTTGTTTGGCATCGAAAACACACACTTAAATTACATTAAATTACGCATGTCTATATATCTGTGTATGCCTTGGCCCAAAATAGATTACGTATAAACCATATATAGTTCCCACATACCCGATTTCGCTATAAAACGACGTCAACGCGCCAGGTTCCGAGGAGAGCATGCGATTGGGAGCGTCATAATTTCTTCATAGAAAAGGCGACAAAATTTCGCACGACAGCGCTTATGTTAGTGTTAACTAACATGCGAGTGTTAACTAACATGGACACTGTTACGGTTATGTTATGGTTATGTGAGTGTTAACTAACATAGACACTGTTGCGGTAATGTTATGGTCATGTAACAATCAACTAATGTAGACCACGTTGCGGTTATGTTATGGTTATGTGAGTGTTAACTAACATAGGCTCTGTTGCGGTTATGTTAGTGTTAACTAACAGTTGTGTGAATGAAACGGCTAACATTAAATGAGCTTTGCCAGGCAGCAGCGTTGAACAACTCGTTAAAAATGGGAATACAAATTGAAAAATACAACAAAATACTGATCTAGCACTGGAGTTGTGTGTCTTCTAGTTCTGTGAGAATTGTAAAACAACATTGATTATGTTCAGAAGAGCTCACTGTTCTCCATCCCTCGGAAACTGGCCAGCAAAAGTAGGCAACGATTTAAACACCAGGCTCACCTTGTTCAGCAATGAAAAGCTAACGAGAGACCAATTAATCACCCAGTGAGAGACCTAATACTAAATGTTAGTCTCTTTCCCCCAGTCTCACCTTTTATTCAGAATTAATCCACGTCTCATTCTCGTCCAGGGTTACTTTTTCTTTTGCAAACAAAGGAATGAGAAAACCTGAAGGGAGCTGAGCTTGGCTTGTCAACACACGTTATCTCTAAGGCTCACTGTTCTGTTCCTTGTCAGCTTTTTATACAGGGAGCTTAAAAGTGTGATCCGACTGAAAAAAGGCTGTCAAAATGCAGATACTATTTGGTGGATAAAGTGACTGTGCTTTGTTCAAATAGCGAGGGTCAGTTTACAGCATAGTATTAAATTCAAAATTTTCAAAAATGTCATTGTAGGTGACGACAATGATATCAAGAGCATGGCAAAAATGTCAAGAAACTGCAAGCGACAAGCGTTGCGCGAGCCGTTCGCGTTGCTGAGGCCAATTGCAGACCACGCACCGAACTGCATCGGGCAGATGGAGAGCCCAACACGTATTGTTGCTGGTCACCAGCGGCCAGACAAATTTCATCCGGTCGAGCAAGGGCAACGAATCGCCTGCAGCCGGGCATCAGAACAAACGCCACCAGTTCCGGCCGCATGTTTGGGCTGCGAATGCGACTGTACAAAATATATCCGAACGTCAGCGAAACATCCAATACCCACAGCCCTGCTGATGCGTTACATGAAGCGGGAAATGGAGCAAGGCGGCGTCATAAACAAACTGTACGGCATCAATTTCTATAACAACTCCCAGCCGCAGTGCGAATGCGTCCAGCCGGATGCGGAGGCGGTGCTCATCCAGCTGCGCACGCTACTGTCGCCGCACGGCCCGGCGACGGCAGCAGAGCAACAGCACTTAATGGAGCATGTGGAGCAGCTGTTGTTGCTGCCGCCGGAGCGACTGGCGCTGGTGCTGGAGCAGTGCTTTCTGTGCGGAATGCTAAGCGCCGCACAGTTGCGCCGGCTGCAGCAGCTGCTGCCGATGCACAATGCGCTGATGAGATTCTTTAGGCGCTTGGTATCGGAGCTGCCGCATTTCCATTACGATATGTCGCTGGCCGAGCATGTGGAGCTGCTGCAGCTGTGTCTGATGCTGCACGATACGAATGCCAGGCCGCAGGCACGTCGCCTGCTGGCAGCGACCATGAAGCACATGTGCCGGCTGCAGCAAACGCAGCTGATGCAGTTCCTCGATCAACTGAATCCTGCACAGCTGCAGCGGCTGTGCCAGCACCTAAAATATAGCTACATACGCATATCCGGCCGGCAGCTGCAGCAATTGCTGCACACAACGTTCCATGTGCTGAAATTGAAGCCCGGCCTCAGGCTGCATCACTGCGACAAGCAGCTACTGTTCGAGCTGGTCAGCATGCCGGCGGAGGAGCCGTTGACCATAAAACAGCGACAGTTTCTGCAATCGCTGCTCGATCATTTGCTGCCCATGATCAAGGCCGAGCAATTGCTCTGGCTGCAGGATCTCAATCTGAACAATACACGATTGCGTCGCTTTCATCTAATGCTCCACAATCCGGCCCTGCTCTGTGATCTGCAGCAGATGAAGCAGCTCTATAGGCATCTGCAGCAGCTCTGCCAATATCGTTGCATCTATGCCTAGCCAGCCGCATTGAAGGCTTGGATCGATTAGTGACTCAGCATCTTTCCAGCTCCTTCATTAGCTTATGTATTACCGTAGGGTAACTCCAAAAGAAATTCCGCATCATCTTAGGCTTGATCTTGATAGAGTCAAGTGACTAGTCGAACTCTCCATAAGGAGTTAACTGATTAGGAATTCTACCTAAGGCTAACTTGGCGTACTTGTAGCTCTTTTGATTTTGGTTCGAGCGGTCTATGATAAAATGAATTTCCTGCTCCGGTTCATCGCCATTCTACATTCATCTTCAATTCGAAAGCAAACTTAAGGAACGGCAACATTCTGTTACTTTCTTTATGAAATTGTCAGTACGGATTGTTGGCATATTTAAATATACGGATCGAAAGCTGCCATAGAATAATTGGTTGTATATGTGTGGAGAAACTTTGTTGTTTATGAAGTTATCGAGATATCTAGTTTTATCGGACTACTATATCATATAGATGCATGCAGGAAATGCATGCCGACAAGGGCATTGAGTCTTCGGTGTGCTGTACACTCCTGTAAACTGTACAGTGGCGAGTGAGAAGCAAGAGAAGTTCGATCATATCTGGAACTGTAAGCGAAAATAAAACGTGCGCACTTTTTACTATTTTCATCGAAGTATACCTTGATTTTTGGTTAGTAACAGTTCGTTTTCAGTTACAAAAAAATTACAAAAATGAGACCGTCTCAAAAAAAAAAAAAAAAAAAAAAAAAAAAAAAAAAAAAGAAACAAAATATACTAAACAAACTCCAGATATTCTTTAAGTCGGATCAAATTTGAAACAAAACAAAACACCAAAAAAAAAAAAAACAAAAAGCCCCAGACAAAAAAAAACAAAAACAACACTTTGGAAATTTATTAGTGGGCACAGTTAAAATTTCGTTTTTAAATTATTGCTACCAAGCGAATGTCTTTGGAAAGGTCGAAATTCTTTGCGGGGGCTCGGGGTGTCGAGACCAACGCATTCTACGGGTCCATGACGCTCGGCGCTGGCGAAGGTCACGGCTTTGTTGCCCATACAGCGGCGCGTGCCCGCTTTGGAGGCGTCCCAATGCGCCAACAACAACAACAACAACAACAACAGCAGCAGCTGCTGCTGCAACAACAGCCGCCACCAACGGAGGCGGCAAAACCAAAAGTGGCGAAACGTCGCGGCGCACAGCCAAAGGTGGCCAACACAATGCCATGCACTGTGGAGGAGTTCACAAGGCGTGCCCAAGCATTGGCCACGGGCAAAGCTGTCGTCGGCGGCGGCGGCACAGCGGGCAAATCCGCGACGAGCAGTTATAGGCGCAATGTGCGGGGTACAGCTGGCGCAGATGCGGCGGCCAAGAAAGCGAATGCTGCAACGAACATCAATCGGAATCGCGGCCAGACAGTTCACACGTCCACAGGTGGCAACGATGCGAATCAGGAGTGGAGCATGCCGGCCAAAACGGCGAACGGTAGCGGACGCAAGCCGGTGGCGCGTGGACGCCGCAATGGCCGCGTGCGCAACGAGACGCCGCAGACGAAATGGCTGCTGATGCCGCAGAGCAATTTTCGGCAATGCAGCGAATCCTCGTCGGAGGCGAATTCGCCAAGCAATGCCAGCCAGCAGCAGCACGTTAAGCTGCGCGTTAAGGCCTCCTGGCCGGCCATCGGCAGCCGGATCAGCCCCAGGCGTCAGCAGATTGTGGAGACGCCCACAAAATCCAATGTACAATCGCGCTTATTCACAGTGCCCAGCCAGCGCCAAACGATGTCTGATGAGCCAAAGCAGGCGCAGCTAAGCGATCATGTGCGATCAATGCGACAGCAACAACAACAGCAACAGCAGCAGGCGTCAACGACTTTGCTGTTGCAGGCGGACGGCGTTAAACAGACGGCGTCCGTCGACAACAGTCGAAGGTCGGCGTCGTCCGTGAAGCCCAGTCCGAACAGCAACACAAATTGCAGCAACAACAGCTATCAATTGACGCTTGGCTTGAGTGGCAGCAGCAGCAGCACCTGGTCGAACAGTGAGTCATACGAAGCGCCCCTTGCACTCAAAGGCGACAACAAGACCATCAAGGTAACCTCAACCGTTATCAAAATAATGCCCGATACGCCGCTGCGCATCATAACACCAGCACCACCAGCAGCAGCAGCAGCACCACCACCACCACCAGCAGCAACATTAGCAGCAACAGCAACAGCAGCAACAACAGCAGCAACAGCAGCTGCAACAATTTCTGCGCCCAGGCCATCAATGCTATCGTCAGTTAACAAGCGTGTGCCGCTCAAGCAGCCACAGCAACAGCAGCAGCAGCAGCAGAAGCCTGCACAACAGCAACAGCTGCAAAAAGCAACAGCAGCAGCAACAGCAGCTGCGGCAGCAGCAGCAGCAGCAACTGCAACGGCAACAGGATCGTCGAAAATTGTGCGCGTGGATCAGCACAAGGTGCCAAAGACCATAGAGGATGGCATCGATATAAGCTATCAGTATTTTGTGTCTACGCCCGTTGCACGTGGCAAGAAGCCGTTGCCCATACGCTATTTATACAGGCCGATGGTGCGACGTTTGAATCAGGCGAGCACAACAACAAGGCATAGTCGTCGCAGCGGAGGCGGCGGCGGCGGCAGCAGCAGCAAAAAGGGTCTGTCGGAGGGCAAAACGGAGGAGGAAGAGCTGCTGGAGCAGAATGTTCGGCTGGATCAGGTTCAGGATGCAGTGGACTCATCGGCCGGCAGCAGCGATATTGAGTCCTTTGATTCGATCACAGAGCTAACTGAGCACAATCGCGATTTTGATCCGCCGCCAATTGTGGTAGATGCGAAATACTTGCCATTTGTAAAGCAATTGCAGAATCATCCCTGGCCACAGGAGCAGCGCAGAAAGGATGCTGTGCAACAGTTGCAAATACTCAAACAGCAACAGTTGCAGCAAATGCAACAGCAACAGCAACAGTTGCAGCTGCAACATCAAAAAGAAGAAGAGCAGCAGCTGCATCAGCAGCAGCAGCTGCTGCAGCAGGCACAGGGAGAACAGGAGCAACAGCTGAAGAAGGCAAAACATTTGCAAATGTTGCAGCAGCAACAGCAACTAATACAACAGCAACGGCAGCTAATTGAGGAGCAACAGCAACAATTGCTGGCACAGGAACAACAGCTCAGTCCACGCCCAGTGCTGATCGATTTTCAGCCAAATGTGACGCGTCTTAGCGCTGTTGGCGGTGCCAACATTTGCTATCATGCACCAATACGCGTGTGCGCTGGTGCTGTCGAACCAGCAACTGTTGCTGCTGCCGAGGCGACAGCAACAGCAACAGCAGCAGCTGTAGCCATGCCCGAGATAATTGAGGCGCCGATAATAGCTGCCATTACCTACGAAGATGTTGAGCTAAATGCCTGCGCTGCCGCCAAGACCGTAAGCTTTCAGATGGAAAGGGACAACAACTGCAACAGCAACGACAACAGCAACAGTTGCAGCCAGAGCGAGAGCCACAACAACAGCAACAATTGCAGCGTTTGCGGCCTAACGGCCATGCCCCCAAAAACAGAAAGGAAGCGACGAAAATGCAAATCGCGTGGCAAGAAGAAGAGCCGCAACTAAACGTTGCACCTCCCGAAATGGGTTGGCAAAAACGGGTTGCAAATAATATGCCACATTGATATTTTGGAAGCGTGCCCAATTCACAATTTATACAATTCAATTTCGATTATAATCCATTTAGTTATTTCCTTAATGTATTTATTTTCTTAATTTTTTTTTTTTTTTTTTAAATTTCATTCGGTAAAAGCTGAAATTACAAATTAGCCCAAAGCTCATTGATATACGCAATTATGATGATATTTAATGCGACTCGGGCCCAAATTGTTGGCACTTTGATGACTTCATTTCGCCACAAATCTACCATACATATACAATGACTGTTCCCTACGGAACGGGCCAAAAGGTCAGGGTCAGACTAAGGGCAAGGCCGCGCCAAACAAACCAAAAACACCCTGTCGACAATATTCTTGAGGGCTGCCGAGCTGGGCTGTTCGCCTCGAGTGCTTGTTGGGCATGTTTTTTTTTTTCATTTTTATTATAACAGCCATCAAATAAAGGATGCACAAGCATCCAGAGTGAGTGCGGTTGATTGGATAATGTCTCCATATTATATAAGTATTATAAGAATGCCATTGCAAATATATATTTAGCACTCATAATGATGCCTAATGGCCATTGGGTAAAATGCTAAAAATAAAATGGTGACTGACGAAATTTTATGTCATTTATCCTTTTGGTTGCTTTTGCCTTTCCATTGTCTTATGAATAGACAAAGAACTCATACATAAACCTTGTCATTATCCTGGCTGCAAGCCCAACCAAACTATTCGCTGGTTCGAACCAATGCGCTGGCTCGATTTACCTTGCACATATATATTAAAAGAAATTTGCATGCGAATGCACTTTTCACAATTTTCAATAACCACTTGAGAATTATAAGCAACGGACACAGATCTGTACTTTATTATATTATAGTATATTTGTTGATCAAACACTTCCTGAATTTATGCAATACCAAGCTTTCTATCAAGCGGACGTGGATTTTACGAAAAGCGTGGAACACGTCTCACTAATTTCAATGTCAAACAAAATTTGACAATTTGTTGATGAGGTGAAAACTGTTCTTTGTTAATATATTTAATCTGATTGAGCACTGAAGCGGAACCCCATAAAAATGAACCAATTTATTGGCACAATAAACAACAAATTTCACGGCTGGCATTGCCCGATCGAAGTTCTAGCGTAAATAAATATTCACAAATAATTGGATGGACAAATAATATGTTGCCATAAGTTAACGAATTGTGTCAACTGCTAACAGAGCGCTTCACAGATTTACATATAATTAAGTTTAATTAGAAGAATTAATTATAATTCCATGAGCAGACCAATTGATCTGCTGCTGGTATGAAACCGAAATGACCGTGTTGGCTGATTTTAAAGGGTATTCTCTTCTATATTAATCGGTTTTCGTTTCCCCAAGGGTAGCACATCGATAAATATCGATTTTGTTTATAGGTTTTCTAGGCTTAAGTAGTAGATAATAAGCGCTGGATACTTTTGTATTTGACATTGTGAATATCTCTCCGATATTGAAAGAAACTTCTCCCTTTTTAGGATAAGGCCTTGTGCTTTGGTCTACAGACACATTTGCTTGATATAAAAGCTAAGCTCCCAAATTTCACAAATATCAATCGATTAACAACGCAACGCATTCCAGAAAGACAAAAAATAAAAACATTTCTCATAGTGTTTGTCTGAGGTAAGAGAAAGGTTCGCATGTTTCTGACATCAGCTCAAGGTAGGCTTCCTTCTAGACGGACATTCATGTCTTGTGCACTCGGCTTTCTGTTCTTTTTCGGCGAAAACTATTCAAAACTTCTGCACCAACCACACATCGACACACGCCACGCCCAAAGATTAGCAGATTGTCTGTGGCACACCCAATGTTCGAGAGGCAGAATCGGCGCTCCAGTTTTTGCTCGACATTTCGTGCTAAGTGCTCATACAGCCTTGACGCTCTGTCGTACCCCTGACCGAGACTGGCTGGGCACATCGAAATGGACGCATTAGTTCCAATTACGAATGGGCATTGACCATTGCCCATGTCCGTGGCTAATGAATGGCGTTCGGCGTCAATATATGTATATATGGGGGCTGTTCCCGATTCGCTGGATGCCGGGCCAAATAGTTCGCATTTAACCTTAATAACAATCAAAGGCAATTGTGCTAAATATTGATATCGGTTACTGGGTCGTTCAATGGGCTTTCAGCCTCGCCTTGCAATCATAATATATACAGATATATATATATCTAAAAATATATATTAAAAAGGAAGAGGCGCAGAGCAACAACAAATAACACTAATAATAATAATAATAATAATAATAAAATACTACAACTATGTCTAATTAAGATTTATGATGAAAGTCAAGGCTGGTCAAGGTGCGAGGTGAGCCACGAGCATCTCACAAATTGCCCTCAGCCTCATACTAGTTGTTAGTCAATAGAACTAACGCGCACACACACACACACACACACACACCGTGCACACAGAAGCTGCAGTTAGTATACGAGTAAATTGTGTTGTGCGCCGCACAGTTCCGCGTACAATGGTTAGTTATATATTATATTTGTATACCCTGTAACCATTGCAAGAGGCTATTAAGGGTTAACTGTGTACGTAACAGGCAAGTGTTATATATATATATATCTATATTATATATACATATTCTTGATCAGCATCCACAGCCAACGCCTCGATCTCCGTAACTATTGCGTGCGAATTTGCTTCTATTTCATTAAACTTATCGATAACCTGTCGCGTGTCCCTCAAAAATCTACAGAAATCGATAGACATCGATATCGATATTGAGTTTGAATGCATATCTCAGCGACACTCAAAATCCAGCATGTAGACTCGCTTATAGCATACGAGGCTTCAGTTTAGTTCCCTTTATAGTTAACCTTTCTCATTTCAACAGATCTGAACTTTGCCCCCTGCATTTTGATGGACTTCTGCACAGGGTATCTCCGAGTTGTTCACATGAAAGCCCCCTACCTTGTTTTATATATATATATATATATGAGTGGGCAGGCATTTGTTTTAGCTGTCAGGCACAGAGTGCAGCTAATCTAAACTGACACACACACACACGCACACTCAGAGAGAGAGAGAGTTACACCTACGCCCATGTCCATGGAAACGACAGACGTCAGAGCTCGCCTGTGTGTTGGGATTTGAAGGGCGGGGGCGGTGAGCCTTTCTCTGTGCCACTTGGCGCTCAAAGGGCTTAGTTGATTATCATTGGAAGTGATTAGAGCGTGCGTCATTAAATGCATAAGTAGTATAGCACATTCGTATCGATTTAAGTTGATTAAATTAGAACATACAAATTAAATTCAATATATATGCAAGACAGTATAACAGCATTAACAGGATGACTATACCAATCGAAGTGGGACAGTATAACAGTTTAGTAGGCGAATAGACAAATTGTCAAAGTCGCACAGTAGACAATTTTAATGAAACAGAATAACAATTTAAATAGGATAGTAGACAAGTTTAAGTCGCACAATATAACAGTTTTATAACAAATGTTTACAATTTGAATAGGACCATTAACGAATCTTATTCGAGCAGTTAAGTAGAGTATAACACATTCAATTAGGCATAACCACTTAAGTAGCACAGTATATCAATTGATGTAGCAAAACAACAGTTTTTGCAGATATAACAGTCAGGTTTAAGCGAAACTAATAATATAATGCGCGAGTTTTTTTTTGTATTTTATGAGCTATATAAAAGTCTTAATAGGACATTAGAAAAGTTTTGAAATGTCATTCTAACAGCTTTTAAATATGTTAATATTCTTTTGCAACATGCTTCCTTTCAACATTAAACGGTTACAATAAGTATAACAATTGACACGCTTCTCGTAGAACAATTGCAGCGAAACATGAAATGATATCATTTTTAATGCTGCCTGAGAACAGCTGATGTATAACTATTAAAAGAGTAACGATCAAGTGTATGACAGTTGCCACATGTAACACAGCTGTTAGATGCTTTATTCGTTTTTTAGCGCCATGCTGTTATAAGTTGTTAGTGTATAACAACAATTGCCAGCTGTGGTATAACAGTTGCCATTATAAATCTTATAATAGCAGCTCTCTGTCTCTCTTGCCCAGCTCAACTTAGTGTTATGATTCCCCACTTGTATACCAATTGTATAACACATTTAAAGTGATTCCCCCCCCCCCCCCCCCCCTCACCCAACACCCTCCCTTAACCAGCACGCTCAACAAATGCCATCAAATGCACAGAATGTAATCATTAGGGGGCAACGCGATCTTGGAAGAAGAGGGTCGGAGAGGATAGAGGGTCCAAGTGATTCCATTCAAAGTGAGCTAAACAATTCTACACACAGTTTAATTAACACTCAACAGCAGCTGGGCCAAAGAGGGGGAGGGAGGGTAGCCGAACCAGTTTGAATGAACGCCAATTGACGTTTGCAATGCGAATTCGATGAGGTTTATTGTTTCTTCTTTTTTTTTTTTTTTTTTTTGTTAATTGTACAGAAATGTGGACTCTTCTTCTTGAGTGCGACAACAAACGAAACGAATCGAAACGAAACGAACTAGAGAAACAGATCAAGTGCATTACGACCCAAAATCCAGATATTATATGCGGAAAACCTTCGAATGAAACTAAATGACAAATTGCAACGTTGATTAAATTTAAACAATGCTGAGAAAGTGAATAATTGGCTTAGAAAACAAGTGCGATACATTTTGTGCTTTCATATGAAAATCGGTTCAGTTCACTGTTGAATAGTTCTTTTGAAGGTCATTGATTTGAACTAGTTTCGGTCTCTCTCGTTCTCGCACTCTCTCGCACACGGATTGCTTGTCTCAATTTGCCAGCTGCCTGTTACGAAATCCTTGACCATGACACGCTGTTTGACCAAGTCAATGAATGGCTGAAACTGTGAATGCATGGATGAATGGGTGAATGGGTGAATGGGTGGTGATTGAATGAATGGGCGTGTGCGAAAGGCAGCCTCAATTGTGATTGGGAGCTCGGAGCTGTGGTCAAGGCCACTTAAAGGACTTCAATGGCATTGGACCATGGCCAAGGGGCAAGTCATAAATATATGTATATTATTAAAAGCGCAAAATCAATTGGGTCACATACTGTGACAATATACAGTGGTAACACGCATTGAAGAACTGCCGTGAATAAAATGAATACAAAATCAAAATACGACATTGAATAGCATACTCACTTGTTGGTTATTTCCAGGACATCGGATATCATTAGGCGATACTTGTTACGGAATTGCTGTCCTCGCTTTGTCTCCAGCAGATACTTGTTGCAGAAATCGGTTAAAGAAACGAAATAGATGAAACCCAGTGATGTGAGGAACAGACCACGCTGGAGCGTGATGCGATCGGTGGTATTCGGTATTTGCCATAGGCTGCCGCAGGCCAAGCTCATCGAGCCAATGGAGCAAGCCAGCGAGAAATAACAGCCGCAACGTAACGGCATCGGCGCCGATTTGCCGCCAATTGCTTGCTCTGTTGCCTCTGCTGTATCTGGCTCTGGTGCATCCGATGTATCCGTTGGTTCAGCTGGAGCTGCTGCATCCTTGCAGGCGCCATTGCTAACCAGCGGCTGGCACAGGCTGTTGCGACGCTGGTGCATGGTTTTTCCTGCTGCTGTGGCTGCTGTTGCTGCTGCCTCTTTTACCGCTGTTCCGTTTGTCTAGTAGGGTGCGGAGGAGTAGTTAGTTGGGTTCACAACCTGTTGCCTGGACGGTGCTGTCTTGGCTGTTTTTGGGTTTATGTTTGTGTTCGGCCTTCAGAGGTGGAAGAATTTCATTTTTGCAGCTGTATTTGAGACAAATAAAAAGACGCTAGTCAGTAGTGTTCGACTAGCAAATACCCTATATATAAATAGTTCCAGTTCAGTTTATACATTTAACGGAACTAGTTCCGTGTACACCAATATCTATAAATATGAACTAGTGCTTAGAAACTAGTTCAACTGAAAGCCAAATTTATTGAGCATGTCCAAACAATATCTATAATATATGCCTCTGAACCACTTTTGAGCCCAGCTTCAATGCCATTTTTTTTTTTTATATACATTTTTCGAATTGAACTAAAAGCAGTTTTGAAATTTCTCAGATTGAAGCTGGATTCTGTATCAGAAAATAAACTATAAACTGGATTTAAGCTGTTCTTTTGCAGCTGCTTGGAATCACTTTTGCAGTATTTTCGAACTAGTTCACATGAAATAACGTATTCAATTGCAATTCATCTATGCCAGTCTTAAGTATATATACTAAGCAAATGTGAGACGACCCAGATAAATCTATATATATATATATAAATGCATATATATGCTATGTATATGTGTAACGTGTAACTGTCTGGTCGCAGGCAATAAAGCGTTTTCTTATCTCGAACGAAGCGGAACTCAATCTGTATGCTCATTATCATCCAATTATCATTATCAGTTGCGACCCTCGCTTGTTGCTGCGGCGGCTGCTGTTGTTTCATATTTGATGTACACTTTAAAAATATTTTCGGACTTTGTCATTACTTAAAGCTGTAACACATAAGTGTCTGTGTCTCCGTGTGTGTGTGTGTGTGTGTGTATTTGCTTAATGCTCTTGAAGCTCATACAATCTTATCTAGCATTTAAGTTTATTAGTTTATTGCCACTTGCGCCTTTTGCATTTATCATTTATCACATGCATGAACTTTTTTTTTATCGTATCCAAATGAAATGAAGAGCGCGCGCATACTGTCAACACACTGTTAATGCGCACTGTTACGCTCTAGAGCTGTTAAATTACATAGACGCTGTGTACATAGGGGCTGCTCTCATACAAAGTACAAATTTCAAATGCTAATTGACATTCGCTTTTGTATGCAAATGCATGTGAGAGTGTGAGTGTGAGTGCGAGTGTGAGTGGGAGCGCATTGAAAACAAAAGTTGCACTCACACTCACACTCTCCTATGTGCGGGCATGCATTGCAAGAATTGAGATACATAAAGCATAAAAATGTAGGTCAAGCACGTTGCATTGCCTAAATAAACAATTAGTTCACACACACACACACACACATGCACACAAACAAAACCGCAACAAATTGAATTGGGCGCCAATTGTTGGGCAATTTTGTTTAGCCAAGTTGCGCGCGCGCACAAATAAAAACAACAACAGCAACAATTACAAATAGAGACAGCTGATCGACGCTGCTTTATGAGGCAATCAATACAGTTTTTGGCACTTATTTATAAGTTTTTGTGTCACTTTCATTTACACGACGAGAGACGCCCACACGCACGCACGCACACACACACACACACACACACACAGAGATGACGCGCGCGCAGTTAGCAGCAGCCCGTCACAGCTGCTGCAGACACAGTTAACACGCATACGCAATGGACAAAACATTCATTGATTATGCAATTCCAAGAATCGCATTGCCAAATTAGTTTAAATCGTGTATCGCACTATGCACTCGCATTCAAGCAACAAAAACAAACTCAATAAAAGTGATCTAATCTTGCGCACACTGTCATACACACACAAACATATACATACACACACACACACACACGCGCGTTTTGTATGAGGTACTGCATTTGCCGGCAACGGCGTCAGCGGGCAAATCCACTTGCATTTCATGTTGTCATTTCACAATTTCGAATCACACACACACTGTACACATTGACAGCATTATTTAGATATGCCAAACATTACGACTCTTATTCGTACGTGTAATATATAATGAAAAAAATAAAATAAATACACAAATTTATAGAAACGCAAACGGCAGCGACTTTTAAACTGACCCAGTTAGATTGAACAATAACAGCAGAGTGGCAGCTGTCAGCAATGTTAGGAGGCTGTTATGCTCGCCAGAGACCTGTTATCTCTTACATACATAGCAACATCGATATATCGATGTTGGCGATATTTTATGGCTGAAACAAGACACATCGCAGACAACATACAAAACTAATTATTAATATTGGAAATATTGAGCTGAAGCGCTAGCGTTATGTCTAATGTGACAATATTTTTTATAATGGTCTGTCATCAATATAAATTATATTTGAACTTTAGGAACCTGTGTAATAAATAATCGATAATATAGTTTATACGAAAAGTATATGCAAAAAAATAGTAGCCTTTAGTTACGTTTACTAAGGGGCAAAATAAAGTTAATGAATTAAATAAATTCGTAGCATTAAATACGGTAAATTAAATCACCCGATATTTAGTTAACTGACATATGGTTGTACAACATATGTTGTTTGGTTAGTGACTGTAGTCATATGTTCTTCGTGTTGGTATTTATCGCAGAGTACATTTTTGGGATTTTAAGTTAACAGGCGTAAATCCCAAAAATACAGTACTTTCTGATATTTACAAACGTGGCTTAAATAAATTAGACACCAGAAAGAAATTTACTCTTCCACTCAACGATAACAGAGTTTATTTTTAAACGGTATAATTTGTTTTACATGTCACGTGAACAAAATAAATATAAATTAAATGAGCATTTAAAACAAGAACTGTTATGAAAAGTATCTATATTTCGTATTAAGAAAAAAATACCATATTGCAATTGGCGGATTTCAAACAAAGCAGTGAGACCAAACTGTACAAACATAAAAATGCAAATACAAGTGCAAGCCGTTTCTTTTGTTTGCCACTAATATTTTATTTTTCAGTGGCTGCGGACGTGTGCGTTTTGTCGTGCGGGTTGGACAAGAAAAATGGCGAAAACTGTCGGTCGTGCGTGCGCGCAAATCGCAATTTTATTAACTATATACGGATCAATACAATGTGTGAAATCAATATGTAAGTGAAACCAAACCACACTTGAATCTTCTCGAAACCAAATATACAAATACGCTTGTACATATGTATGCACATATGACAGATCATCGTTAGGCAGCGATTATGATGATGACGATGTCGAAGAAGACAAAACGCAGATTGGTCGTTGAGTCAATGGGGGATGAGCCAGGGGGAGTCAGAGCGCGCTCTGCTGCCATTTGGTACTTTTTTTTTTTTTTTTTTTGTATGGTGAAATTTTGCTGCCATGTTTGTTTTTTTTTTTTTCTTGTTTGTGTCTCTGTTGCTGTTAAAATGAATTTGTATTTTTATTGTAGTTGTTATTTCTGCTGCCTAGCAGTAAATGCGTTAATTGACAACAACAAAATATCAAGTGTACGTAGCACCGTAGGCGTGTGCGTGTGTGTGTGTGTGTGTGTGAGTGGCGCAGCCGAGTGTGAAAATAGGCAACAGCATTACTAAGAAACGAACGTCCTGTCGCCTGCCTGTCTGTCCCTCTCGCTCTAGCTCTAATACACTGCCCACGTTCGCTTTATTTTTAACGTTTTTCTTTTCTTCTTTCTTTTTTATATTTGTTTTGTTTTGTGCTGTACTGTGTGCTACGCCTATTTGCTCCATGCTCCACTTAACGTGCAACAATTTCCGTAGCCCTAGCCCCACTGTCAACCCCCACCCCACACCCCTTTGCTCACTTGTGGAGCGACATCTCGTTGTTGCATATTACAATTGAAATTTGTGGCGCATTTTTATTAAGACGCAAAGAAAAGGCGACTGTCAGGCTTATTGTTTTTGTTTATGTTGTTGTTGGCACTTCACGATGCGGTGGCGTCGCAATTGAAATTGAAATGGTTCAAAGAAACAGAACAGGTGGCAACCTTGCCAGCAGCTGCTCAGGGCAGCGGCCCAAAATGCCGTTAGCCGCCGTTTTATTTCTGCATTTGTACATTATCTGCTCTTTCTTCGCTCTACCACTCTCTTGAGCATAAGTCAGTGTTGTGTAATTAGCCAATAATGCAATATGCTGTTTCAACTACCTAAACACGTACGTATGTATGTATATGTTATTATATATATATATATATATATATATACATATGTAAAAACTGGCCCCGGTCAGACGGCGTTGCCAGCGTTTATTGTTGACGCAGTTCATTTACTTGTTTCAGCTAACTGCACACGCACTGCCATAAGTGTATACATATCTTGAAATATACATATGCATTTGTTGATACAGTTGCGATTGGGCATTTCTTTGTCTGGCAGCCAGCATTTACCACCCACTTATCAATTTCTTGCAGTTGCTTTATTTTTAACTTTTTGAGCCCGTGTGTGCAAATACTCAGTTTTGTTTTTGTTGCTGCTGTTATTCTTTTTACGTTTGCTAGAAATCAATGAAGCTCGACTGCTGCTGCTGCTGCTGCTGCCAGTAGCAGTAGCAGCCGTTGGTCAGTCTGCAGTCACAGTTAATCGATCGTTCGTTCCAACTTAATTCCCATTGGACTGGGCCGATGTCCACAGAGACTGTCACCGACTGGCACAGCAAAGAGCAAAGAGCGCTTATCAAGAGCGCTGCTGCTTTTGCTGCTGCTGCTGCTATTGTTGTTGTTGTTGTTTTCATGTTTTTCGCTGTGGCGATTAACAGTTAGTTTTTGCAGTAGCAAACAGTAGCTTGAATGAGATTTGCGTGCTTATTAATACACACATATTTATGAACGTACACTAACACACTCATATATTCATATGCATACGAACGCACACATGCATACATACATACATACATGCATGTGTATGTATATGTGCATGCTCTGCATTGCAGAGATCCGTAATCGATGGGCATATTGTCATTAGAGATTTACTGCAGATATCCTTTCGTACATATCTGTTATATTTGTGTTATATATTTTGAAACACCATTTTATTTGAAGTTACAGTTTTGGCCTCGGCTGTGTTGTGTGTGTGTGTGTGTGTGTGTGTGTGTGTGTGTGTGTGTGTGTGTGTATATATTAACTCTTATAGATTATTTCTAAGTTACGTTTTTACACACGTTTTTGCCCATTTCAAAAGGGACTTCACTGGCCGTGAATCAGAATGTTTGCTGAACAATGTATTAAGTACTTTTTCGAGGGGACTTTGGTCCATCCATGCATTTAGAATCTCTTGCCTAGATAATAAAAGCACAAGGCTGTTCCAACAAAGAGCACTTAAAATGTGCATTTACCGTTGCGCGCATTTAGCGACTCGCATTAAATCCACCTTCGATCGATAAACAATCGAGAATGCGAGTGCGATAAAGCACGGACAGTGCTCCGGCACTGTCCAATTGGTCTTGCATGTGCTGCGGCCAATTCCAATTGGGTGGCGCTGACATGAATTCTATTCAAATATACGTATGGTATGTATGTATGTAGAGATTTTCTTTCATATTCATCTCTTTGCATTTTGTGCCGCATCAACCCCCAACCCCCTTCACCCACGGTCTGCTTACGGTTTACGTTGACCAAAATAGTTGCGCCCATTGTATGCATTGGCGCCCACACCAAACGGTACATAGTGCTGCGTTTGTCTTGAAGGTGCTTTATTGCAACACAGCCCCTCCCTCTCTCTCTCTCTCTCACTCACTCACTAACATTGTGACAACAGGAAATAGAGCCGACCGTGTTAGCACATCATTTACGTCAAACGTAAGCATTGACAAAGCTCCCACCTGCGCCTCTCTCTCTCTCTCTCTCTCTCTCTCTGTCTCTCTCTCTGTCGCCTTCTTGTTTCTTTTGGATGCGTTGTTCGCGCTGCGACCCATGCATTTTGGGCATTCTGGCAACTCTGTGCATTGCGCGATCCGTTTTCGGTTTTCGTTTTGTTTGCTTCTCTATTGATTTGACCGATAAGCATGTCCGGCTAACGGCGCCAAAAGCTCAATAAACAAAATCTTCAACTAAACAATTGTCGTTACGGTTGTTTGTTGTCATTATTGTTGCCAACAACAGGTATTCATCTATAGTTGAAAAGCTCGTCTGTCGCTAGATAAGAAGGCGAAAAAGAAGAAGAACACAACACCATTAACCAAACAACATATAGTCTGGACATCACATACAAACAGCGTTGTCACAAAGTGTATCGGAGGCATCTGGTCCAAACTCGCGAGTAAGGGAGTAAGATATACATATGATGTATTTTTGAACCGCTTACTCTACAGGAAAGTGCTTGGCGCACTCTCTTCCATATGATTTGATGCAATAGAACGGCAACGCTGTTAACTTTTGTGTTATGTTTATGTTGTTTGGTTAGTGATACTACGCAAAATGCCTGTCAAATTAATTACCAGCTACCTCTCAGCCCACCTCACCATGAACGCTTTATCGCAACAATAAAGAATAACATAGAAGCACAAGCTTGCAATTATGATAAACAAATAGCAGCAAAAAAAAAAAAAAACTCCATTTTGCAGACACATTTCCTTACCAATGGAAAAAAATGAATAATATATGAAGAAACTGGGTCACACTCGCGGTCGCTTTGGCTGTGCATGTGTGTATGAGGGATATGCCCCATAAGGTCGTTAGCACAGCAGTACAGCAAAGAAGAATGAATAGCAACAATTGCTTTCATTTTCAAATCAAATGCTGAATAAATTGCGCCAATTATTAAAAAATAGCAACAACAAAAACCATAGCCATTAACATAACAATTAACACCGGGTTCAATTGAATCTAACTCAAACGCCGGACAAATGCTAAGAAACGACCAGAGAAACTGCAGGAAGAGCGCCTTAGCATCAGTGGGTGCGAAAGAGAGGGCAGGCAGCTGCAGGTGTATGACTCAGTGTGACCGCAGCCAATAATTATGCAAGGCAATGGGAAATAGACAAACACAGCAATGACGTGCAACCCTGATTTATATGCATATGTATGTGTGTGTGTGTGTGTATGTGCGCGCGCTCTCCACTCTGTTGTGTCTCTGTTATGCATGCATATTATTTTTGCTTTACTTTTTTCTTAGCATCAAAAATAACCTGTAATTAGCCAAAACTCAAAATGCAAAACGATAAAGGGCTGTGCAACGG